AGTTTTATTTCCGATACAATGCACGATTACTCAAATGCCGCCAATTTTAATTCAATATGGCGGACGTTACAAAATGTCGATTTATCATTTCCATAGCGCGGGCCTTATGATATGGGCATCAAAGCAAAATGACGGCATTGTAAATCCAATATGGCAGACTCCCAAAGATTGACCTAAGTACTTCCCAGTGTCCGAGGCACAGTATGGTTTCCTATATTTTTAATCCAATGTAGCGGACGTTACAAAATGGCGATTTATCATATCCATATGATATGGTCATCAGACTTTTTACCAAGATTTACTTGTGTAGATAAACTAGAAATAAAATGTTAAAAAATAATGTTTTTTTATAAAAAGGTAAATCTCGCGAAATGCTTTGATATCATATAAATTGTGTCGTGTAATAAATTAATGGGTTTGATTTAATTTAAAGTTTATTTTCTTCTTTTTAGGGTATTTAAATAAATGCTTCTTTTAAAATATATATATATATATATATATATATATATATATATATATATATATATTATTTATAATTATACAATTCAATTGGCTTTAACGCGACAAATTATAATTAAGTACATCTGTAAACCCGATGAAAAAAATGTATTTAATTTGTTGCGTAGTAATATATAATTATATTTGACTTATGTTCATAACAATATTTACATGATTTTTATATAAATGAAAGATATTAAATTATAAATAAATAATATATACCACAGTAACATTTTGCTTATCTATTTGGCATCAACCGGAACAACAATATCTTGAATAATTGTGTTGACATATTATAATTTTTCTCATTTGAATAAATAAAAAAATTATGTTATTGCTGATACGAATAAGGCGCGTATTTATTTACTTCGCTTTAAAAATTAAATTATTTTTAAACATGTAAGTTGTATATATTTTTGTAATTGCTTCTGAAAAACCTTTATCCACTCCACTTGAATTTCCTTCTCAAGCAAAAAGATCCATTTTAAGACACATAAATTGGCGCCTAAATTTGCAGTCGGGTGAAAAATGCCTATAGCACTCGAATAATGTTCCTATGGCGGTTCCTATTAGTAAAAGAATTTTCGGAATCGGATCAGTAGTTTCAGAGACTACTCCCAACATACATTCATACTCCCAAACTTTACCTATAATAAATATACTAAAATTAATTAATCTATACATATAATGAAACTGTAGAGGTCGAAGGTCTGTACATAGAAATTTTTTGCTAAAAACCGAGTCAGGGGGATGTAAGAAGAGAAATAGAACAAATCCAGATTTTTCAATTTTTTTGTTTCTCTGTCTGTTTGTCTGTTTGTACGGGCTAATCTCCGAAACTGTTAGACCGATTCAAATGAAATTTTGCATGGTTGTACCTTATATCCCCGGTCAACATCCTAGATACTTTTCATCCCGGAAAATTAAGTAATTCTCGTGAGATATATCTTATACAGCTTAGAACACAACAAAACAATATAGTAACTTATAAGCTTAGTATACAACAACTTATCCACGTAATTTAGTAAAATTTGGCATGCTGATACCTTATATTGTCGGTCAAACAACAGGTTACCTACTTTTTATCCAAGAAAAACGAACGGTTCCCGTGGGATAGATCTATTTGTGCTTTTTTAGTATAAATAATAATACTTATTATAATCGATACGGTACATCACATACATTTGATATTTTAATACGTAATAAAAATTAATACATATTTTAATTTTAGAAAACCGAAGAAGATACCTTGTCATTATCCAATTACCCCAGAAAACAATTAATTAAGAAAATTAAGTCAAGCGCACAGACCATTGTTGTTAATTACTTTTACGTATCTGCTAATCGATTTAACTATTTGTAAAGATATAAATACGAAGAGCGTTAGAATCAATACCAAAGTTAAAGTCTGTGTTTCCGAAGCATCAAGCACTACTACAACATACAACTACAAGAAAACTACGTAAGTAAGAAAGTAGTAAGAAACGTAAAAATGGTTCAAAATTGCCGCTCAATGTTGCTGCTGGTCTGCATCACTTTTTTGGTGATCGTTTCATCTCCGCGAAATGAAGTTCAAGCGGACAAGCTTATCGGCAGCTGTGTATGGGGCTTTGTTAACTACACATCTAACTGCAACGCCGAGTGCAAAAGACGTGGGTACAAAGGAGGACATTGTGGAAGCTTTGCTAATGTCAACTGTTGGTGCGAAACATAAGATTTATCACTTAAAACCAGATAGATAGCCATATACTTAATGAAAACTGAAAATTATCATATCTCGTTTAGATTATATCAAACATAATTATAATGGACGGATTTTAATAGTACTAATCTATACATATAATTTAAATTGTAACTAATCCGAATCTGTACATTAAATATATATCATATTTTTTGGAGAATCTTATTGAAATAGACATTATTATCGACGATTCAACTGCCTCGGTGGTGTAGTGGCTAGCATGTACAGCTGCAAACCCGGAGGTCCTGGGCTCGAGTCTCTGGTCGGGCCAAGTTTAGTTATTGAGTCTTTCTGTATAGTAAGCCTAAGAAGCAGCCCGGAGTTGGAAAGTTGGCGGTTTTCACCCCTGTGCCTCGGAGAGCACGTAAAGCCGTCGGTCCTGTGCCTTAACACTCTCTGGTTATGTCGAATAGTCGTCCCACTGGAGTATGAGAGTGGCAGGAATAGAGAGTGCACGTTGTGTCTGCGCTCTCCCTCACACGCGCTGCGCTATAATATCTCCTGCACAGTTGGCTAGTCTCTATGAGATTAACCGCCGTGGCTGGAATCGGTCAGGACAACATTATTATTATTATTATCGATACAGAGGCCGAATCTATAGTTTTTTAGAATTTTTGTCTATCTGTCTCTCTGTTTGTTACCGCATTACAGAAAAACCACTGGAAGGATATTAATGAAATTTGGTATGGTGATAGCTGGTTATCTGGGTCAACATATATGATACTTTTTACCGCTGGAAAATATCTAATTTCTGAGACAAAATATAAAAATTGCTCTGTAAGAATATACTAATATGTAAAACCTAAGAATTTGGTTTTTGATCATCTAAACGCGGGTGGGGCCGCGGGCAATGCTAGTTATTAATTAAATTGTAATCGGTAACATTTTAAACGAATATATAAATTATAATATTTTAACCTTGTATTATGTGATTTCAATAAATCTATTCTGTTTGAAGATTCAATTGTTGTATTTTATTTCATTTAATATTGTTACTAGTAATAAGCTTTGTTATATAAAAAGTAATAATATGAAATATACGAGTATGTCACTTTTTTAATTTATTTTTCAAGGCATATCTCCGACGAATTCATCATCACGTTATTCCTTTAGCTAAATAGCTTCTTGACAACATGAATCTCGAATAGGGTTAAGCCTATCGAGTTGATATTCAGCCCTTTTTAACGTCCCACCGCTGGGCGCGGGCCTCACCTTATTGCAAGGAAAATCAGGCCATAGTTCACCACGCTGGTAAAAAGCGAATAAGCAGACTTCACATGTCTTTCGAAAAATTTCTGTGTTCTCTCGGACATGCAAGTTTCAAATAAAATCAAACATATTCAAATAGACCTTTACAAGCACTTTTGAATCATCACTTTTTACATTTTCAAAATTTAAATTAAATGTCCTTATGTAAGTCCAAGAGGAATCTACCACCGGCTCGAAAGGCAGTTCTGCTGAGAAGAGTCGGCCAGAAATTTAACAGTTTGGAAATAATGTTTGTTTTCTCACGATTTTTGCCTTCACCGTAAGCAAATGGTAATCATGATATAAATGATTTACAAATTAGAATATCAGGAGGTATGAGACCTGGGATTTGGGCCGTACAAGTATTTTTGTTTGTGTGCGTGCATAGAATAATCGCTCGCAGATAAATAAATGTGTTAAAATAATGTACGCGTTTGGACGTTGTAGAATATTCTACCTATTTTTATTTAACGATATAGTTATTGGTATATTTATAAATTAACATTTCAGAAATGTTCAGATCAATCACCAAAACTTAATTATTATTATATAATTCATAAAAATACCAATATGCTAAATATGAAATCTTTACTATTCCGTAAGTTGAAATAAATAAAAAATATATAAAAAAAAGAATGAACACGATCCGATTACTAGTTTCGGAGAAATGGATATATATATATAGGTGTATGGATGTATGTGTGCATGGAAGCCCTAACAGATTATGAGTGAATATTGTGCAGTTTCAATAATCTATAGGTACATATAATAAAATTCTGAGTCGAATCTGTACATTAAATATTTTTTGGAAAATCTTATTGATATAGACATTATTATCGATCCTATCGGCCGATTCAATAGTTTTTAGAATTTTTGTGTCTATCTGTCTGTCTGTTACCGCATAACAGAGAAACTACCTACAATGATATTCATTTATTATTATGTTTGCCTAATTTCATGAAAATCGGTGTAGCCGTTTATTTTACGCGTGATTAAAAACAAACTTACAATCACGTATTTTAGACTATTAGTAGGATTATAATTAATTATATTATATAGTACGATAATTCTAGCATTGCATCTCTTTGACTCTTTTCGGATTGTATATGTGGCGTATTCTTTGATCGTGGATTGTTTGATGCTTTCTTGCGGGGTTCGCGGGTGCAGCGCGCTAAGACCCGCCCAAACACTCAAGGCCATTGGGAACACTAATCGCCTTAACCAAACAAAGCATTTTATTTTGATGTATTGTTTATATTTTCTCTTTAGTGCGTAGGTATTATTATCTGTATCAGTCACTCAGAAAGTATTAAATAAGGAAAAAAACAAAGTTAAACCACACAAAAGAATTAATTAGTCAACAGTACTTGGATTTTCCTATTCACTTATCAAGTGAACCGTATTTAAAGATATAAATAAGGAATACATCAACATAAGATGCAGTTGAAGTTTGTGCCTCTTAATTGAAGCATCAGAATTATTAAAGCCTCAATAGTAAATAATAAACGTGACAATGGTGCAAAATTGCCGCTCAATGTTGCTGCTGGTCTGCATCACTTTTTTGGTGATCGTTTCATCTCCGCAAAATGAAGTTCAAGCAGACAAGCTTATCGGCAGCTGTGTATGGGGCGCTGTTAACTACACGTCTAACTGCAACGCTGAGTGCAAAAGACGTGGGTACAGAGGAGGACATTGTGGAAGTTTTGCTAATGTCAACTGTTGGTGCGAAACATAAGATTTGCAAATAGTCCATGATGATGGAATATATACTGAAAATACCTAATGAAAACTGAAAAGTATAGCTCGTCAAGATTATCAAACACCATCCGTTTGACACATTTCGGGAGTATCTATTTTTTTGTAACATTAATAACCCGAAATAAATTGGAATTGGTAACCTTTTTAATGTATAATTAACTAAGTTTTTAAATGTTCTTGTACGATATTTGAATAAAATATTTTTTTAAATATTCATTGGTTTATTTCAGTAAGTATGTATATTATAAATCTATACTGTTTGAAGTTTAGAATTTTGTATTTTATTCCATTTTATATTGTTACTACGAGTAGTAAGCTTTGTGATATAAAATGTAGTAAAATAAATGTTTCTTTTTTAAATTTATTTCTCAAGACATATTACCGAAAATAATATATACCGAAAATTTAGGTTTTGCTCGCTGCGTGATAGTCACGTAGATAAATATTCTACAGTATTGGTACATAAATGTGTGAGATTTTTATTATTTTATTGAAGGTGAAATGTAAACATATAATTCTAAATAATCATAAAATGTAATCATAGAATCATAACAAGTTTATGCAGGAAAATAAAAGAAAAGGCTCTCCTCTAATCTCCGAGTAATAAGTTATCAGTACACAAAATTTAGTTAAAATCGGTTCAGTACTTTTTTCGTGAAACGCGAACACCCAAACAGACAAACAGACAAAAATTTTCATAATCATTGTTTTGGTGTCTGTAAGACACAATACGTTACAGTCATTGTTTTGAAAAAATATTTCACTTATAAATTTCACTTAGTTATTGTTTTATTATATGTATTATATAAATATTAGTTAGTTATTAGTTTTAATACATATTTATTTATTCACAAAGAATCACTTCGGTTCAAAAACAAAATCATGCTCCAAAACATTTATTCACCGTTATTACCGCGTTCGCGCACTCTCCTCGCGTAAACTCAGCGTCACAAAGGTACAACTTCTGAATAACCCATCAATGATATGAACCTCCAATATTTTTTTAAATATAGTCCGGAATCATATCTCTAGGGATTTTTTATTTTTTCGATATCTTATTTCATTTCGAGATATAATTTTTTTTCTGACCGAAACCGAGCGAAAAGCAGCATTTTTCACATTATTTCGATTGAAAAAAATGCCTTTGAGTGTTTTCAATTTTTTTTTGCATTTTGTAGCCCTCATTCAGACGCATATTTTAAGATCCCAATCAACCACGTAGTCGAAAAATCCACGACACCAGGGCGATGACGCACTTACGCTGAAAATCGGGTCTATACTGAAGCGACAAAAAAAACATTTTCAACCGACTTCCTTAAAAAGGAGGAGGTTTTCTATTCGGCTGTATGTTTTTTTTTTTTTATGTTTGTTACCTCACAACTCCGTTATTTATTAACCGATGTGGACCATTTTTGTTTTGTTTGAAAGTGTATACTTCCAGATTGGTCCCATTTAAATTTCAAAGAAAAATACCACCCCTAAGGTTGAAAAAATAGCTAATGATAAATTTAACCTATTTCTAATTGTCATATTGACTTGAAACTTTGTAAGTGTTTCTTATTTCTATTGATAGTACAGTGGTTCGGTATTGTTGACCTGATCTGATGGTAAGGCCAGAAGGTCAACGACTAATAGTAGATACTTTGAGTTTGGGCTTATTTTGTTTGATTTGACAAGCCTAATACGTTAGAATTCTTACTTTGCTACTACTAACAAAAGTTTACACTAAAAAGGGTAAAATAAAAACTTTTTAACAAAAAAATAAAAACCGACTTCAAAAAAAAAGCACTAAAAAGTAAAAAGTAACTGATTGGTAGTTTTCATTTACTATACATACCTAATCAAATATTTTCGAAGTCGGTATGCTTTCCTTTGTATGGGCTGGCACCGACTTCGAAATTTTGTTTTGAAGTCGGTTTTTATTTTTTTGTTAAAAAGTTTTTATCAATGTTAAAAAAACGTAAATGTTAGCTTATTAGTTAAAAAAGTCATTTTAGCCGAGGTACATTATTCTAAAGTCATTAACATTATATGCAAGTTGTATCATTGTACTCTTTTCCTCTAACTTTGTAAAGATGGAGTAGAAAAATGTGCCAAAAATAAAGGTATTAGAGTTTGCTAACTATTTTAAATACAATACAAATGTACTCACACACTTGAAAGTCATTACATTCATCAAGTTTTAATTAGTTATAACATAAAGCCAAAGAGTTTTTTTTAAAGCAGTTTGAACTCAAGCGAAGCTGCGGGTACTGGTAGTTTCTATAAACATATTAAATATTAAGTTAATCACTAAGGGTAATATGATGATGATGTGCTCCTGACCGATTCCGGCCACGGCGGCCTTTCTCATTGAGACTAGCCAACTGCGCAGGAGATATTATAGTGCACAAGTGTACGCGCAGACACAACGTGCACTCTCTATTCCTGTCATTCTCATACTCCGGTGGGACGACTGCTCGACACGACCAGTGAGAGTTAAGGCGCAGGACCGACGGCTTTACGTGCTCTCCGAGGCACGGGGGTGAAACACCGCCAACTTCCCAACTCCGGGCTGTTACTGAGACTTACTATACAGAACGACTCAATAACTAAATTTGGCCCGACCCGGGACTCGAACCCAGGACCTCCGAGTGTGCAGCCGTACATGCTAGCCACTACACCACAGAGGCGGTTAAGGGTAATATAATATACTTTTAAGTGGTTTTAAAGTCATATTATATAATATTCTTAATATTAGTCATATTATATAGTATATAATATTACCATATTTTTATTTTTGTTTCCGAGATCATTATGAAAACTTAAAACCGAATTGAGTTTGTTTTTTTTATAAACATTACCTTAACAAGGTTGTTGGTAATACGAATTACGAAATAAGTGTGTATTATGTCAATACTATTATCTACTTTGTACGATGGAGGTCTGTTACCCTGAAATACGGACTTTAGTCTCATGTTTATGCGCGCAATAATATTATGATACTAGCATTGCCCGCGGCTCCGCCCGCGTTCAGGTGACCAAAAACCAAATTCTTAGCTTTTACATATTAGTATACTCTTACATTGCAGTCTTTGTATTTTTTCTCAGAAATGAGATATTTTCCCGCGGTATAAAGTATCCTTTATGACCCGGATAACCAGCTACCATCATACCAAATTTCATCAAAATCCCTCCAGTGGTTCACTCTGTATCGATAATAATGTCTATTTCAATAAGATTTCCCAAAAAATATTTAATGTACAGATTCGACTCAGTTACAATTTTATTATATGTACTTATAGATTGGTCCGCATCTAAAATTCGTAGCGTAATAAGAGATAGTCTTTAACCTTACCAAATAAATAGGTTATTAGAAGTAAACATAATTTTTCTAATCGTTTTGGTAGTTCCAACGTAGTCAAATAGATATGGGAAAAATACATATTATATTATATAGTGCGCCAGGTTTTGCTCGCTGCGTGATTGATAGTCACGTTAACATTAACATTATGCAGCATTCATATATGTGTAAGATTTTTTACTATTTAATAGAATTATAATATATTCCCATATGATTTTTTTTAATTCATTCTGAAACGACTTTAGAATAACATCTAAGCTCCGTACATAGAGGTATATTATTATCTATCTCCATTCCTTCCAGTAAAAGCCATTGATTGAGTTTTATTTTTATTAATTCAATCATTGTAGTGTAAAAAGCCAACAAACATACTCAATTGTCATAAAATTAACATTTTTCTATGGAAACTGGCACCGCCGCCATTTTATAAATTTTTTTGAAAGTTGCGACACAAAATTAAATAATAATGGATAGAGGACGCTTAAACAAACAAAAAATATCAATACGGCGTAATAAATATATAATTGTAAATTATAATATTTCCACACCTAAAATATTTCATAGTAATTTTGTTCTCAAAAAAAAATAGATTTGAACATCATTTAAAATAGAATAATAATGATATGTTTATTTATAATACAACAAAAACCACGCGAGTCTTGAAAATGAATAAAGTTTTTCTTTATTTGTTACACTGAGAACACACAATCGGGAAACAGCAATTACCATAATCGCGATAAATATTGCATTCATTACGAACGCGTTAAATGTGTCAAACGAGTAGCTATACTTGAACGGTCAACGCCAATGCCATTCTTGGCAATAAGATTGGCGTTGATGTACCTTGAATTTCAAGGAAGATGGACGTTGACTTGATGCTGCTACACTGTATTTCATGAGCTTTAATTTTTATTATATGAATATACATATTTTATCATTAACGGATCGATCCCACAAACATGGTTTTGTTTTTATAGGCATATATAATAATTTAGTGGAATATGCCCGGAACGTATTCTTAATCCAAGTCACAATAGTATTTCTCTCTGATCTACAACACACAAACCACTCATCCAATGTTATACCAAATCCCTTTATTTGCCGATATACAATGAAAGTGTACGGCCCACAATAATTGATAATTGATATGTGATTGAATACATATTATCCACACGTTCATTACCTGCCAAATCTACATGAGATAGAATCCATGTCAATGATACGCTTTTATTTGATGCTTCCAGCTTACAAATAGCCTTCAATACGTATATCTTGTATGCTATTGGAGCTCCTCAAAAAGTAGAGGTGCAGCGAGCAATATGTCCATAAAGATAACAAAATTTTCGAAATTACTAATACTGCTGATAGGTATACTGCTAAGCGTCATACAAGGAAAACAACATACATAATAGAATAACTGATTCAATTTTGCATTCGATATTAGTACGAGATTGAGGGTCATTAATAGCGGCTCCGATACCTTCTTTGCATTTAGAACCATGTGTATATTTTTAAAAATATCTATATTTAATATTCACCATTTCCAGACTATTGTTTTTTAAAACCGAAATATTTACCAACCGTTTCGACCGCTTAATGTTATATATAGATCAAAATATCTTATTATCTTT